CCGCGGCGCCCGCCGCCGCCCCCGCCGGCGCCGGCGCCGGCGCGGCCTCCTCCTCCTCCTCCTCCTTGTTGTTGTGCTCTCCCGCGAGCCCGAGCAGCCGCTGCACCTTGAGCACGTTCCCGGTGCCCGCGTAGGCGCACGTCTCGAGCCTGCCGGCCACGAGGACACCTCATCTCTCCCCACATCTCCCCGCATCTCCCCACACCTCCCCACACCTCGCCTGCCGGCCACGAGACACCCAAGGAGCGTGCGTGCGCGGGGGACGAGCCCCCGCCTCCGTGTGTCTCGAGGGCTAGGAGACGGGTCCAGGAGACGGGTCCAGGAGACGGGTCCAGGAGACGGGTCCAGGAGACGGGTCCAGGAGAGACGGGTCCAGGAGACGGGTCCAGGAGACGGGTCCAGGAGAGAGACGGGTCAAGGAGAGAGACGGGTCCAGGAGACGGGTCCAGGAGACGGGTCCAGGAGACGGGTCCATGCTGCGGCATCTAGGGCCTCGCGCGTGATTGCGCAGTAGGCGCCCGCCTCGCCGGGCACCGCCTTGGCCAGCTCGAGGGCGAGATCGGCCTCGCCCTGCCGCCCGATGTAGAGCAGCCCGACGCCGAGGCAGAGGAGGCGGGTGAGCGACTCCGTCGCGAGCGACGCCTGCAGGGGCGCAGAGAGAGAGAGGCGCCTCCTCGAGGCACGGCGCGGGTGAGGTGGGTGTCGCGGGCGAGGGGCTCGCAGCGCCTCCTCGCGCTCCATCAGCGCCGCGATGATTGTCTGCGTGATGTCCTACAGGGCCAACGATCGCGGCTGCCCTCGGCTGATCTCGTGCAATCTCGCGAGAGGGACCGCCGCGAGGCGTCCTCGTGGCACGAGCCGGCGAACGTCAGGCCGAGCGAGAGCGACGCCATCGCGACAACCTCGAGGGGCGTGTCCAAGTCGGCGACGACCGGCACGAGCTGCTCAAGCACCTCCGCCTTGCGCGTGCCTGTGGGGAAAGGAGCGCCGTCAGGCGAGGGGCGTGCCGCGCCGTCTGCTGCCCCGCGCGGTGCCGAGGTAGGCGAGGCCGAGGCCCAGCAGCGCCCCCATCTTGAGCTGCGGCGTCTCCGCGCCCGGCTCGACGTAGTCGTTGAGGAGCGCGAGCGCCTGCAGGACAACTCGCTTGACGAGTGGAGCGTCTGCGCCCGGTCGGGAGTGGCGCGGTCGTCTCCGGAAGGCGCGGTCGCCGGGTCGCACTCGTTCCGCACGCCGCAGTTGAGGATGCCGACGGCAAGCAGCGCGCCCGCCTATACCGGACGCGTCCCGGACACATGTCGTGGGCGGGTCCTGGGCGGCGGCGGCGAGCAGCGTGCGCCCGCCTTGATGTTGGTATCGCTCATGTAGAGAAACTTGTCGATCTGCGTGAGCCCGCCGTCGACGTCCCAGCAGAGGAGCGCGCCTAGGGTTCGGGTACCCGAGGGGGTAGGGATAGGA